CATCGAGGACCTCCCCATCCTGGGTCGCAGATACATTTAGGCACCATCGGTGTACTACCCTACAAGAAAACAAATATGCTTTTCTACGTATTATTCCTTTTTTGGAATAACGACGGAAATGTCTGGTACCTGTACATCAGCATAACAATCTCCATGGACACAATGAGTAAGGCTGTCAATAGCATTGCTGTCACATGCGCCACCCCAGAGTTTGCATCCAGCCGCGGAATTCTTTTCATACGATGGAGTTGCAAGGTCGTACTGGTCATCATTCACTCGTAAGTTACGGATGCAACCGTTCAGACTGGTGTGAGGAATGGCGGTAGGATACGCTTGACCTCCAGCAAGTGGAGCGATGCCACCAATTTGCACGGGAGCAACGATGTTCAGTCGTTCATCATCATCAGGAGTGTACACAGATTTTCGGCATGATAGATCATCCGAGCCAGCTCCAAGGAAGCGACATTGGTCCACAACAAGTTCGATATACTGAAAATAAGTGATTCAGAAAAAGAAGCAGCCGATATAAGCAACTGTCACCAAGTAAGGTCACAAACGTTCCGCAGCAGTTGCAAATAAAAGCTTCAAAGTTTTTGATCGAACAAATATGCCGCCGCATTTAGCTGCACAAAAACTATGCACATAAGTGAAGTTGGAATTTCAGCAAAACTTTAGCTCAGCTTCTCAGTGAACTTCAAGTCGACAGAAGAAAATGACACTTTGAAGCAATATGAAGAAACGTCATTTCGACGTACACAGTCTTTTACAACGTAGAGAAGCATTTTAATCAATTACAATACTCCCTCTTTACAACAAGTTTTCAAAGTAAAAAACTAACCTTTCCAATCTGTGTAACCGCTAATTCATGCCACGTTCCATCGTTCAGAGGAGTTGATGCAACTTCAAGGCTAACCGGTGCTATACCATTCATCGACATCTAAACATGATCTCATGGCTGCAAGACTCATAAGCGTAACGAAACAGTTTAGGACTAGATCTATAGATAAAACTACCTCTAGAGCAAGACGTCCATTTTTGAGTTGGATAATGATGTAATCGCGATAATCAATCTGTAGATCACTATTCTTCGTGTCCATCGGCCCATTATAGAATAATACAGCATCGCGTTGTCTTGAAACATAAAGATTAGTTTGTAGCGCATTAATATTACCTCCAAAAACGCTGTCTCAGATTCTCGTAAATATGAACTGTAGCTACTTAGGTTTATGGAATTGTAGGAAGATTAGGGAAAAAATGTAAGTTATATATCCACTTACAAAGTCATAAACTGCATGCTGATGTTAAGGCTAGTGCACGCTGGCATTGGCTTGTACCAGGCAAAACCATCCCCAGAGAAAGATCTTGTCGTTCCTTGACATCTTGAGCCTTTTAAAAGATCGTTGCGACATTCACAGCTGGAAATTATGTGTCATAAAGTTACTTCTCGTACAATATTTACAGTGCGCAGCGTATAACAAAAACAGGAACTCACAAGAATCCAGGATGCGTGTTGTGGCAAGCTCCATCATTATGGCACAAACCAGCTTGGCATTGTGTTGGTGGACGCCACACTGGACAAGTGCATTCATCTTTTGATTGAGCATTCACTCCAACAAGCACTGTGCTATTTGCAGAGACAACCACTCCATTCTGCAAGAAAAAGACAAGAATGTTTGGGCAGAAGCGTATCCACTATAAGAATGGTTAAGCTACTCACAAAATCTGCGGTGTGGACTGTTTGACATCCCGAGTCGCAGACGGTGAATTTGCACATGTCAATTCCAACACCAACGATCGTCGCTCCCATTTTATTCTGCAAGTCGTAGCGATTGGCTGAGATCAATCCATTCAGCTGGGTGGAATCTCTGAAAAAAAGCACAAATTTTTTTTTTCCGCCGAATAAGAAAGAAATCAGAAGAATAGAAGGCCGATGGTAGATTTGATATTGCAACATGTGCAAAACAGGTGGAAGTCAGATAAGAGCAAGGGCACCTCCACTTACTACTCTATTTATAGGACAAACTTTCACTAAACAAACCTGTAAGGAGATCCATGTGCCGAAAATCGAACATTGATCACTGGCACCGTACGAGTTTGTAATGTAGCGTAATCCAACTAAACGAAATATCAAAGTTAGGAAACGATACTGAAGAGATGATCCAGTGAGAGATCCTGACCTGAACAGAAAACACATCGAGCACAACATTTCCTCCCATATACTTAACCATTTCCTGAGTGAACGTATTCATCATGCTCTTCCCATTAGCATCTACCCGAATAAAGTCTTCAGGTGACTGCAGACTTGAGTCTTCAGCGAGAAGTAATTGCATTGCACCCTAAGGAAGACCGTTTGATTTCTATGAAATCAAAACAAGTTCAAAAAAATGGGAATAAAACGCGTTACCTGATTGCTGAACGCTACTTCAGGCACAAGAAGCACATTTACGGTCACATAGCCAACAGCATTCTCATTTCGACGGTTGTCGTGCACATTTGAGGACATTTGATAAGTACCCGGTGGCATGTTCGCATCCATTGTTATCTGAAAAGTATAAATGTATCTCAAAAGTTATCCATTAGTTAGTTTCGTAGAATCTACCAACCTCTCCTTTTGGTGACAGTTCAAAACCGGGCAGAGATTCTTTCCAAGTAAACGTTTTGTCTCCAAGGTCCCAATCATCCAAATCTTCTACGTACACTCTACCAATCTGAGTCTTTTTCAGTTTTCCAAGGTAGGAATTAACAGTAATCGTCATCTTGCCATCGTGCATAGGGTTGTCATTCTGAAAATGCTTACAGTATGGAAATGGCAAGGCAATGGAAAAGGGCTTGTTTATACTTAAAATTTTGTAAAGTTCACATTCAGATCTATAGAGAGACGAGAGAAAAACAAAATTCTTGACGCAGATGTAGGATTCTAACATTCATTTGTCCCCCTTATGAAAAATACTACTGCAATGTTAACTTCTCCCTCAAACTATGCACAAAATAGGATCTTCTAGATTTTCGAATGTGATACAGATTTACTTTGTAGGAAACTGCTGTATAAAAACCAAACTTTTTGTCATATAATGGAAAGCAATGCAAAAACGACTATAATCCCTCTGGAATCATCAA